AAAGAAAAAAGAAAAAAACGGCCAGGCATGGTGGTTCATGCCTGTAATCCCAGCACTTTGGGAAGCCAAGGCCAGCAGAGCACCTGAGATCAGGAGTTTGATCTCATTGAGACCAGCCTGGCTAACATGGTGAACTCCCCATGTCTACTAAAAATACAAAAAAAAAAAAAAAAAAGATTAGCCAGACATAGTGGTGTGTGCCTATAATCCTAGCTATTTGGGAGGCTGAGGCAAGAGAATCGCTTAAATCTGGGCAGCGGAGGTTGCAGTGACCCGAGATCACACTCCAGTCTGGGCAGCAGAGCAGAACTCTGTCAAAAAAAAAAAAAAAAAGAAAGAAAGGAGAGAGAGGGAGAGAGAACAAAAACAAAAAAGGAAAAAACTAATTTCTTTAGGTATTTCTAGTACCTTTCCAACTGGGTCCAGTTGGTAGAAATTCCATTAACGTCCAATGCACTGTGGTAGGACGTAGGAGGGACGCAACTGGGAATAAAACGTGCGGAACCTCGGGTCGGGTGGCCTGAGTCTCAGTCCTGACTATTTTCTTAGGACCTATTCCAATCTGTAAAGTAAGGGCTAATCCTGTACCACCTCTAATTGTCATATAACTTTTAAATCTTAGCCTGTCTCTACCCAGTCCTATAGCAAGACAGAGAACTCTGTGAGAAGGTTTCTCATCCTCCTGCTCAGCTGAAAGTAGCCAGAAAGGCCACGAGCTCCTCAGCCTCAGGAACCCAGCTGGGCTCCATCTGCCTGGAGCTGTGCTCTGCTTCTCCCCATTTCACTCTAATCTTCGGCTGCAGTCATTTGCCACGTCTACTCCTTCAACGGTATCTTTCCTCCGCTCTGCATTTTCTAGGGCTCCATCCCACATGAACTTATACAAATTTTTACAATCAACCGGACCGGCCTCCCTGCTCCACGAAACTCACACCCTCAGCCGTCTCGTATCTTCCCCATCATGCTTCCTCTTCTACTTGCAAGCCTTTGCACAAGATGTCTCATGATCTTGCTCAGGGAATCCTCCCCAGATTGGCTGATCTCGGGGATGCCGCAAAGGCACCTGCTGACGGGGCAAGTTGAGGAGGGCTGAACTGCATTCGGCCTGCCAATTCCTCCACTCGGCTCAGAGCTGTCTGCTGGAGGAAGGGAACCTTTTATTTTCTCCCCAAAGTATCATCTGTTCCCTGTTCTCCAAGTGACGTGCCACAGTAGGCTCTTTCTAAACTGTTTTTCTATTTTGCCCTACTGGTTCCTTTTTTTTTTTTTTTTTTTTTTTTTTTTGAGACAGGATCTCTGTCACCCAGGCTGGAGTGCAGTGGTGCAATGACAGGTCACTGCATCACTGTGGCCTTGAGCTCCCAGGCTCAGGTGATCCTTCCACCTCAACCTCCAGAGTGGCTGGGACCACATGCATCTTACTACACCCATCTGATTTTTGTATTTTTTGTAGAGACAGGGTTTCACCATGTTGCCCAGGCTGGTCTCCATCTCCTGGGTTTGAGCTATCTTCATGCCTTGGCCTCCCGAAGTGCTGAGATTATAGGTGTAAGCCACCATGCCAGGCCAAAAGCTAGAATCTTGTCTATACTTCTGTGTCCTGGTGCCTAGGAAAACTTTTTTTCTCTTGCCTCAGTTCAAGCTCAATGATAAATAAGGCGCAGAGGTTAGATAACAGGTAAAGCCTAGGAACTGCAGGATCAGCAAATCAGGTGAGGGAGTGGTGGTCTCCTTCCTTGTCAGTAAGGTTAGGTTCAGGGGCATCTGGCTGAGGCGAGGGGCTGTCCGAAATCGCTTCATGGAGGGCCCTGCCAGTGACGCCCCTTTCAGCAAATGGGGCCAGCTCTATGCAAATGTGTTCTTGCCCAGGAGTTTGGTTTCTTCTCTCTGAGCTCTTGGCACAGCAGAACCAACGTGAGCAGCTGCTTGGCAGGACAGAGAAGGGCAGGCTAGCAGTCCCAAGGCTCGGGTGACAGGACCAGGCCCAGGAGACGGGGATGTTGACTGGGGCTTTAACAGCATTCCTGATGCCAATCTCCGGCTGAAAACTCGATATTTCCACTTGGAACAACAAGAAACACCAGCAAGTGAGCTGATGAGAGGGCAGTATGCCGGGAGTGCCCCCTGCAGGCCTCACAGGGTGGTGCCAGGACAGAGGAAGTTGGCACAGGCAGGGTGGGGCTTTCAGGACATCCCTGAGATGATGGTGCTGATGGTGACAGTGAAGATGACCATGAAGAAGACAATGAGGAGAAAGAGGAAGATAGTAGCTAGCATTCACTGAGTACTAACAATGTGTCAGGCAATGCCTTATGTCGTCTTTATGACAACCCCCTAAAAGATGCATAATACAGTTCTTTTTTAGATAGAGAATCTGAGGTTTAAAGAGGTTAAGCAATTGCTCAGGTTCACCCAGCTAGTAGTGGAGAGAAGTGGGCTTTGAACCCAAGTCGTTGCCTCCTGAGCTTACATTATCCAGTACCCACTTTCCCACCTTTCAGTTCATTTCAGGAGCTTCTCGCCCTCTATGTTCATCTCTATGTCTTCCTGCTCCTCTAGTTCATATTTTCTTGATCCAAATTTAAAGGATCTGGAGAAGAAGAGATCCATATCTGGGATCTAATAATGCTGATAACAAAAGCAACAATACCTTGCATTTGTAAACCACTTTCTGCTCTTAATTATTCCCCTGGCAAAAAAATGAACATTAAAATATTTCTATTTCTCCAAATTTTGTTCTGATTTTTATCAGTGTTCCTGAAGTTACCTCTATATAATCATGATCAATGTATGAGAATATTTTCAGGTTCTGCTTTTTCATGTAACAGGGTGTTATATATACATTCACACATTTAAACACAGCAATTATTATGGCTTTATAGTAGCCTATGATATTAATATGCCACATATGTTACATTACTGAGGCAGTGTAACTTTGTGAAAAGAACACGAGGCTGAGGCTAATAACACCAAATGCTGGCAGGAATGTGAAGCAACAGGAACAGGAATTCGTGGCTGATGGGAATGCAAAATGGTACAGCTACTTTGGAAGACAGTGTGACAGTTTCTTTAAAAACTAAGCATACTCTTACCATACAATCCAGGATTCATGCTCCTTGGTATCTACCCAAAGATGAAAACGCGTCCACATGGAAACCACTGATGGATGTTTCTAGCAGCTTTATTCATCATGGCCAAATCTAGAAAGCAACCAAGATATCTTTGAGTAGGTAAACAGATAAATAAACCATGACCATCCTGAAGTGGAATATTATTCAGTGCCAAAAAGAAGTGAACTACAAAGCCATGAAAAGACATGGAGGAAACTTAAAGGTACATTACTAAGTGAAAGAAGCCAATCTGAAATGGCTACGTATTGTACAATTCCAACTATATGACATTCTAGAAAAGGAAATCTATGGAGGCAGGAAAGAGTGAGTGGTTGCCAGGGGTTAGGGAAGCGGGATGGACTAGGCAGAGCATGGAGGATTTCTACAGCAATGAGACTGCTCGGTATTATCCTATAATGGTGGATACACATCATTATACATTTGTCCAAACCCACAGAATGTACAACACCAAGAGTGAAGCCTCATGCCAACTATGGACTTTGGGTGATTCTGATGTCCACGTAGGTTCATCACTTGTCACCAATGTGCCACTCTGGTGGGGGATATTGACAGTGGGAAAGGCTACATGTGTGGGCACAGGGGACATACGAAAAATCTCTGTCTTTCCTCTCAGTTTTGCTCTGAATCTAAAACTACTCTGTAAGAAGTCTTTTTAAAAAATAAAAAATAAAAAGCATGAGGTGATACAGATGTGGGAGTTTGACTCCTATCTCTGTCCAACTCTGTGACATTTGATAAATCACTTAATGTGTCTTAGTTTGAGTTTCCTCATGTATAACTGGAAAAAATAATATCTACCTTATAGAGTTGCCATGGGGATGCAATGAGACCTGTGTCCCGTTCATATCCGATGTTCAATGAATTAGTACCACTAGCCGCTGTGTGTTCATGTGTCTTTCTCCCTCACGGGTTAATGAGCAGGGACTTACTCACTCTGTAACCACCCCATCTAATACGCTGCCTGGCACTTGGGCTCTGGAGAAGTTTGCTGAGTGAATAGTTAGTAAGCCCTAACCAAGGCTTTTCTCTCTGGTGGACATTTGGGTTGCTTCTAGGGTTTTTGTTATGGACAAAATACATTTCAAAGCCCTTCGATTTTTTTTTTCTTCATTTGATCTGCACACACTGTAAAGCAGGCAGGAAGGGACTGTGGCTGGGGGAAGTGAAGTGACTCCTATGGGTCACAATGCAAATCAATGACAATAATTAGAGGTCCTGACCCTGCTTCCCTTCCTTGAGTAGATCCAAAACTAGAGACTGTGATGGGGGGCCTGACCTGAGGGCAGCACCTGCACACGGAGGCCCCTGTTGAAGGTGGTGAGCTGCCAGCTACCAGATGGCCCTCTGAAACCCCAGGGAACCTAACACCTTATTCTCAAATACATGAGGGCTTGTATTTTCCCCTGAGCAAGGAGCTTCTTAGGAAAGAGCCACCACCGTGCCAGCTTTCTCTTTCTTCTTATTCTTCTTTTTTTTTTTTTTTTTTCCTATGAGGGGATGAGGAGCCAAGCTCTGAGTTGTCCAGAAGGAGGGACTTTGGCTAAAAATAGCTATGGCGTGTGGTTTGGATCAACCCCTAGTGGTACCCAGGACTGGGGAGGGGAGGGGGGGATGCTCTGGAGCTGTCGCCAGACTGGTTGCCATGGAAACGAGAGAGGAGCAGGGGAGCCTGGGAAGTAGGGATGACACAGATAGCAAGTCCTAGTCAGAGCTGCCGCTACATTTAGGAGAAACAGCAGTGTCTGCGGCTCCCACCCGTCAAGGGGGCCCGTGGGGGGGGCGGTGTCAGGGGCATGGACGCCACCCCCCAGGGGTTTCTGCTGCCGGCTACTCTCCTCTCCACGTGCTGTGAGTTGAGTTGCGGGGGACTTGGGGTTTGGGCCTCTATTTCCAAGGCAAGTGGGGGTTTGGGAGGTGCTGGTTTTTGGGGGAGTTTTGACCAGGTCTCTCCTTCCAAAAAATGAGCCACCTTAGTCCCCAGCTCTCTCGGGGGAGGAGGGGCCCAGGAAAAGTGGTACTGCAATCTTCTGCAAAGGGGTCATAGCATGCACAAGAAATGAGGAGGAGTAGGTTGGAGGAACTGAAATTCTTGGAGGGAAGATGCAGAAATCAAGTCCTTGATCTTGGGATAGAGGTAACAATTTCACACTTTTCCTTCCCCTGAGAAAAATGCAGCCCCCCACTCAGGAAACCAAAGTAAGCTTTACCTAGATCCCTGGGGCAACGGAGAGTGAGAGTTCTGGGGGTGATCAGACACTGGGGTCCTTTCCCCATCCCTGGGCAGAGAGATCCGTCTAAGCAGGCTGACTGGGGGTCAGATTACTAAGACCCTGAGAGAACTTCTGGAAGCCCACCTGAGACTAAGGCTAGGATGAATGAGAGCAGGGTCGTTTTCTGCATGACCTGGAATCTCTGAGCCAGTCAATGCTTACACTTCTTGAGGACATCCTGAGCTTCGGGGAAGAAAAAGGAAGCACATTGTTGGGGGCAGAGGAATCCCTAATCTGTCATTGCCATGGGGCTCTTGGACCCTGCATCCCCTGACTCCATGGAAAGTTTATGCAGGGGGTAACCCTAAGCTCAAAGCCATTTCATTTTGATTTCTCTTCCTGCTCTCTCTATCGCAACACACACACACACACACACACACACACACACACACACACACACACATTCTCCAGAGTGCTGACTGCAGAGCACCTCACCCCAGAACATAAAATGCTGGAGTGCTAGGTTTACAGTCACATATCCAGGCAATTTCTCCCCAGGACCTGGTCAAACATCCAGGCCATCTGTGGTTCCTATGTCACACTCCTCCATCCCCCACCCACTAGCCAGCCCACATTTTCATGGAGTGGGAGGAGAGGATAATTCCCAGGAAAGAGAAGGGAAGGTGGAAGAGTCCCAAATCCTTATTCTAGACCTTTCCCTGTGTGGTCCATATCTCCCAGAAGACCCTGGGTGCTTTGGGAAGGGCTCTGGACCTCTCTCAGAGCAGACTGCAGCTCAGAGAGCTCCTCAGAGGGAAGCATGTGAAGCAAAATCAGGTGGGCTTTGCTTGGAATGTGGGCTTTGGGACATATGGCAGGTGGGGGCGGGGCTGGTGTTAGGATAGTCCATGGGGAGTAAGAGTCTGGAGGAAAAATAACTAGAGGGAGTGGGGAAATAAATGTGGGTGCTTAGTGCTTCACTTGATCTGATTCCATGTGTCTAGTGAAGAATAGAATCCCGGAGGGAAAGAAGCCTAACTCTTGATGAACTCTGGGCTTCCTTTTCCCCAGGTCTGTGTTGATCTGTTTCTTCCAGTTCCCCTCCCCATTTGCAGGCTGTCTCCACTAGGGGAAAAAACTCAAGGGAAATGGGGCTGGCCCAAGAGCAGCAGTGATCGTGGGTAGGCCTCGGGAAGGATCTCCAGTGGGAATTTCCTAATGTTCCTCCCTTGTACACTGGAGGGTTTCCACTGACTTTCCACGGCTTTCATTTCTTTCTCCTTTGAAAGCGAGTTAAGGGGAGGGGGTGGAGTGAGTGAGATCCGAGGAGGGAAGAATGGGAGAGACTGTGTGTCAATCTTGGGGTGAACTTCAAAACAGCCTGCGAGGAGAGCCCTTGGTGGCTGGACGGGCAACAGCTGGGGAAGGACTGGTGGAAGTGCTTAGGGCAGTGATTTCAGGACATCACTAGAGGGATCTGGGCCCGGGTCTTTGGCCCCCGGGCTGCCCGTGAGGTGCTGCACACCCCAGCTGGAGGTGATGGCACCAAGATCCCTGATACCTCCTTCCCACATGAAATAACGCACCTGAGCTGGATAGGGTTGTGCGAGTTCCACATGAAAATGAAAACGGCGTGGAACTCGCACAGTCCTACCCAGTTCAGGTGCGTTATTCCATCCGAGCCTCACAACGTTCCGAGCCTGGGGGGCAGTCAGGGCTGAATGTGTTATTCCCAGAAATAGAGGCCGGGAGACAAGAAGGGACCCCCAGGGCCGGGTGCTGGCCCTGCTGTCCCGCGCCTCCCCATCTCCCGCGGGGCCGCTCATTCCGCAAACCTTTATTAAGCCCCTCCAGGACCCCCGACGCCGCCGAGGCGCCCCGCGACGCGCGGCGGGTGGCGGCTGCCCGGGCCCCGGGCGCCGCTCTCCAGGCGCCCGCCCCGCTCGCCCTGACGCGGCCGCCATGGCGCAGGAGAACGCGGCCTTCTCGCCCGGGCCGGAGGAGCCGCCGCGGCGCCGCGGCCGCCAGCGCTACGTGGAGAAGGACGGCCGGTGCAACGTGCAGCAGGGCAACGTGCGCGAGACGTACCGCTACCTGACCGACCTGTTCACCACGCTGGTGGACCTGCAGTGGCGCCTCAGCCTGCTCTTCTTCGTGCTGGCCTACGCGCTCACCTGGCTCTTCTTCGGCGCCATCTGGTGGCTCATCGCCTACGGCCGCGGCGACCTGGAGCACCTGGAGGACACCGCGTGGACGCCGTGCGTCAACAACCTCAACGGCTTCGTGGCCGCCTTCCTCTTCTCCATCGAGACGGAGACCACCATCGGCTACGGGCACCGCGTCATCACCGACCAGTGCCCCGAGGGCATCGTGCTGCTGCTGCTGCAGGCCATCCTGGGCTCCATGGTGAACGCCTTCATGGTGGGCTGCATGTTCGTCAAGATCTCGCAGCCCAACAAGCGCGCCGCCACGCTGGTCTTCTCCTCGCACGCCGTGGTGTCGCTGCGCGACGGGCGCCTCTGCCTCATGTTCCGCGTGGGCGACCTGCGCTCCTCGCACATCGTGGAGGCCTCCATCCGCGCCAAGCTCATCCGCTCGCGCCAGACGCTGGAGGGCGAGTTCATCCCGCTGCACCAGACCGACCTCAGCGTGGGCTTCGACACGGGCGACGACCGCCTCTTCCTCGTCTCGCCGCTGGTCATCAGCCACGAGATCGACGCCGCCAGCCCCTTCTGGGAGGCGTCGCGCCGCGCCCTCGAGAGGGACGACTTCGAGATCGTCGTCATCCTCGAGGGCATGGTGGAGGCCACGGGTGCGAGCGGGCCCGGAGAAGGGAGCGGGGCTTGGCTGCGGGTGGGCAGGGCGGAGGAAGGCAGGGGCGAGACGGGAGGTGGGGAGGATGGATGGAAGGGCTAGTGCAGGATGAGAGAGCGGGGTGAGACCGGGGTGGGGGTGGGGGTGGAACCGAGTCACTGCTGAAGGCCAAGAGAAAGCTTGGAGGAATTCTCCGAAATGGCACTGGCGTGGGGCCCTGGGCCCAGAGGAATGTGTCACTTGGAATAGGGAGAGTAATAATAGCTAGCGCCTGCCCAGTACTCACCCTGTGTCATGCGCGGTTCCAAAGCACTGTCCACCTCTGAGTTCACTTAATCCTCACAAGAACCCTCTGACGGTAACTTCTCGTTATTGCGCTCACTTTTCGGAGACGCGATTGCTCCAATGAGAAGTTAAGGGAATTGTCCACTTTCCTAAGCCAGCAAGTGGCCATGCCTGGATTGGACACAGGCAATGTGGCTTCCATGTTTAGACGTCCCGAGTTGGAAGGAGGGGTTAGGTTCAGGAGTTCTCGCACTGCAGCCAGGTTCAGGCCCCTGGAATTTGACGGTGAAGATTTTTCCATGGCCTGAGTTATTTCTAGGCTGGCGCTTGAGGGGAGCTTAATATCTGGTCTCACTTCTGCCTCGGTTTCCCGGTTCATCCATTTCCACTGACAAGGGACATAGATGATGTTACCATTTCTAGCCCTTTTCCAAAAGGAACTGGCAACCCATCTGTGATGTCAGTAAGTCCAACCCAGATCTACACAGTGAAGGCTTTGGGAACAGGTGGAGAAAGACCGGTGCTATAGGAGTTGCAGATGAGGTTACTTAGGACTTGAGAACTAGGGGGGATGGAGGAGGGCGAGGAAACTGCGGGTGGAGAACCAAAGGCCCACTAGGGGGCGCCGCAGTCCCTGCCACTGACGCCCGAGCTGCTGATGCTCCTACCGGCTTCGCGGACAGGCTGCTGCCTTCAGATCCTTTCCCTGGCCCCTTTGCGCTGGCCCCCCCGCCCCGCTTCACATCCCAACCCCAGCTCCCCCTCACTGTTCCGCATTGCTACTTCACCCCGACTCTTTACCCTTCCCCCACTCACCCCGTTCCCTTTCCTCTCTCTCTCTCTCTCCGGCTGTCACTCCTTTTTAGCCAGCATCTCAGGCAGGCCCCTCTGGGGGCAAGTTCCTGCCCTGCCAGCTGTCTTTTCTCTCTATACCCCGAGCCCTGCCCGCTCCTCCTCGAAGCCCTTCTCCCCCCAGTGTCCCTATGCCTCTTTTTCCTCTCTCCCACTGCATACTTCCTGTTCCAGCCTCACCGCAGAATACGAATGTCTCAGGGCCAGGCTTTGCGAGCTGACAGCCACCCTCTGGTTAGCTGATGTCCACTCTTCTGTTTCCCCTTGTTCCGAGATGGATGCGGGTTGGGGGAAAGACCCTGTGGCAGGAGGACAATGACCCTCCCTGAGGGATGCACGAACCCAACAAGAAGACAGGACACAGGCCCGGGGCAGGGAGGCCCAGGACAGAAGAGATAGGAATGGGACTCTGTCTGTTTTTTCTAGAGAGATAAAGCTGGAAAGGATGGTAATATTTTGGGTGAGACAGTCAGGATTCAAAACGCTTTTGAAAAGCCAGAATAATGAGCCAAAACCCAACAAGATGACATTTAAAAGGAATAAATATAAAATTCTACATTTAGGCTTTTAAAAAAAATCACTTATGTAAGCACAGCATGGAAGAGCACTGGTGAAAAAAGAACTGGGTGTTTTAGTTGGCTACAGGCTTGATGTCGTCGCAATGTGATGCAGCCTCCAAAGTGATTATGTAATGTTATCCTGGGCCCTATTTGTGAACACATCATGGCCAGAACAGAGAGATGGTGTGCCCTCTCTTATGCATGGAGCAGGCCACAGTTGGAAAATTCACTGCACTCAAAATGCTTCAGGGCCCTCCTTGGCCATTCTGGCTTGTAATCAAAAAGGTAGAATTTTGGAAAACCAGTTCAAATGAGAAATCGTGGAGGAAGCCAGGGATGTTAAGTCAAGAAGAGAAAACTTGAGGGAACCTGAGGCTCCTGTTTTCAGATTTTCAAAGGACTGTAAAGTGGGAGGGGAATGAAGCCAAGGGGTGGAAACCCCAGGAGACAGGTTTTAGCTCTGTATAAAGAACAACCCAGCCATGAGAGCTATCACACAAAGGGGTGCGCCCTCTCTGAGCTGTCAGTCCTGAGAGGCAGTCAAGTACAAGCTAGGTGCCCACTGTTAGAAATGCTCCTTTAGGGATCCCTGTGTGGAGTGAGAAGTTGAACTAGATGATCCCTAAGGTTTGTTTCAAGGTTAAGCTTTTTTGATTGGTATCACCAAATGACAGGAGGGGATAAAAGAGCTGGAGATTAAGAGGAGTTGGGGCAAATGGAGACGGGGCAAGGGAACTGGGTAAGAACAGGAGCTAGGGAGGGGGAGAAAATGGACCGGACCAAAGGGAAGCGGGAGCCCTTAGGGAAGGAATAGAAGGGAGGGTGCTGGGAGCAGGGCTGTGGAATGAGAGCCAGGGAAGAGAAGCGTGGAGCCGGGATCCCCCCTGACCCGTGCCCCTCCCCTCAGGAATGACATGCCAAGCTCGGAGCTCCTACCTGGTAGACGAGGTGCTGTGGGGCCACCGCTTCACGTCAGTGCTGACCCTGGAGGACGGCTTCTATGAGGTGGACTATGCCAGCTTTCATGAGACCTTTGAGGTGCCCACACCTTCGTGCAGTGCTCGAGAGCTGGCAGAGGCTGCAGCCCGCCTTGATGCCCATCTCTACTGGTCCATCCCCAGCCGCCTGGATGAGAAGGTGGAGGAGGAAGGGGCAGGGGAGGGGGCGGGGGGGGAAGCTGGGGCTGACAAGGAGCAGAATGGCTGCCTGCCACCCCCAGAGACTGAGTCCAAGGTGTGACCAGCTTCCTCTGAACCACTGTGGCAGACCAGGGGCCAGACACAGGTACATGGGGAACTGCATCTCAGAGGTGGAGGAGAAGGAGGAGGTAGGCAAAGCCCCTGGAAATGTGCTAAAGTTGGAAAGTCCCCGCCCCCCAGAACCTCAAGTCTAGGATCTAGTATGGAAGGGAGGGGTCCTGATTTCAGGGAAATGGAGGGTGGGGCCAGGTGAACTTACCAGTCTGTGTTTGACCTTCGCATTTGTTCATGAGTGGATGGATGGACAGAAGGATGGACTTTTGGGGGTTGGATGGGAAGATGGTGGCGGATAAAGACAGCTGATAGATACATACATGGACCAATAGACAGTTGGTCCACTCAGGGCTGCCACTAACTGGTAGAACACCTCTGTGCAAATTTTTAAAAGGCACCCTTTTCCTCCAGACAGATACAGCCCCAAACCAGGGTGCATGGCCTGGGGAGCAGAGTGTAGGATGGATTGCAGTCCCTGCTCACCTCTTCTGCCAGCCTCCCCACACATGGCACAACTGTCCAGCGACAGGGTAGGCCAAGCTGAAGCGAAGGAGAAAGGAGCTGGAGCAAGATGGCCACGTGAGGAGGGTGCCCTTCCAGCTCCACCCTCACCGGGACGAAGGGTTGCAAGGGGGCTCAGCAAGGTGCAAATGACCTTAGTCCTCAGGTTCAGGGAAGCAGGCAGAGGGGGTAGATGCCTGAGCTGGGGCCCTGGACAAAGGCCTGGGAAAGAAAAACCAGGGGTGGCTATATTCTGACAGTGGAGTGAGATCTTACAGGTATCCCACACAAGCAGGAAGAGAGAGAGAGTTTCTGAGGAGGAAGGGCCAGGAGAGAGATCTGGAAAGTGGGTTCACTAGAGCTGGGATGCAGGGAGCCCCTGGGAAAGCAGTTTGGTTCTGGGGCACAGTCATTCACATCACTGATTGGGTGCCATGTGGGGTGGACATTCAAAAACCTGGTTCCTGTCCTCAAAATAAGGGGCACCTGCGAAATCAGAGGAATCTACCTGTGGCAGCTGAACAAGGGATAATTCAAACTGACCACCTGTGCAGTTGCGCGGAAGGTGGGAGAGTGTGGGTGACTGTGGGTGATCAGAAGGCTGGGGCCGGTGTAAGGCGTAGGGAATACGTAAGTCAGCAGTTAGAAACCTTCAGTGTGCATCGGAGTGAACCGGAGGGCTTGTTAAAACACCAGTTTTTGGACTCCACTCCCAGGGATTCTAACTCAATAGGTGGGGACCCAAAATTTTCATTTCTAAGAAGTCCCCAGGGTCATGCTGCTGCTGCTGCTGTACTGGGGACCACACTTTGAGAACCTGGGCTCTAAGCAAAGACTTGGAGGTCATAGCAGGAGACGGGGCATGGAAGCTGAAGAGAAGCCGAGAAGAAGCTGAGGATCCTCACAGGAGCAGACAGAGACATGTGGAGGGTGGGGTTTGACATGTGGGAAAGGGGCCCTAAGTCTAGGCTGAAGAGTTTAACTTTGGGCCCAGGAACTCAGCCATCAGTGGAAACAGGGCAGCAACAAGTAGAAGGGGTGTCTGGAAGCTGAGCAGGCCAGACAGAGAGATGAAGCCATCAGAAGGACTTGAGGGGATTCCTGGGGAGGTTGGGGGAGGGGGAGAGGTGGAGCAGGAAGGGTTTTGGGGGCAAAGGACAGAACCCCTTGTAGGGCTAAAGGCAGGATTGAATGTGGGAGAAAATCTGAGAGAAGCGATAGGAATCGGAACATCTGGAGGTGACTGCAGCCTGCTGTCAGCCCAGCTGGGCCAAGGGGTCCCAAAGATGCATATTCTCACCCCACCTCCACCTGCCTCCTGGTCGCATCCCAGTCACCAGCGCAGCTTCCTGGATGGTGAGGGAGAACAATGGCAAGATGAGAGGGGCAGAGGGGACCTGAAGCTGGTGCCCTGGAGAAAAGCATAGGCCGAGGAGAGCCCACCCTGGGACAGCACCGCCTCCCACGCAGCAGCTCTGGCCCAGAAAGGACCTCCTCCCTTAGCCCTGACCACACTCCACTCCTGCCCTTTCAGAAGTCTAAGTCCCCTGGGGAAAGCACTCCAGTCTTCTCTGTTCCAGGTTGGGCAGCCGGGGTCCTATGAGGCACAGCCACGGTCCTGTGGGTCCTCTGGAAGCAAGAAAGGGGGCCAAGGAGGGAGCCTAGGCAGCTTGGGTGACTCAGAAAGGACCCAAGTCCCAGTCTCTTCCTTTCAGTCAAAGCATGGACATCTTTGCCTCAGGTGACAGGGCCACCGGGGTCCCGTCATCAAAGATGAGATTCCTGAACCCTGGCATCAGCTGGTCCCCTAAGAACAGACGTTGGAGTGGGAAATGGGATTCATTTGGGTTTCAGTAAAACAGGGGAGTCTGGACAAGACAGGGTGGGCTACTTTGTATCCACATACACGCACTCACACAGAAGCCAACCCACTGCAATTGGACAAGCAAAGAAACTGAGGCTGGAAAGGCCCCTCCTGCCCCCTGAAGTCACAGAGACCCTGCCACACCTCTCCTTGCCACTGTCACCACTCAGGGCACCACTGTATAGTGTGACAAGTCAGGAGACCTAGGTCCCAGTCCTGACACTGTCACTAATTAGCTCTATGACTCTGGGCAAATCACATCTCTGGGCCTCAGTTTCCTCATCTGTAAAAATAACACTTAGCAAACTCGTAATGCTCAATAAATGTTTAAATAACAATGGAAGGAGGCCTACTGGATGCCTCTTAAGGTGCCGTGCAGGTAAGAATTTTAGGATCAGCAAGAAAATTTCCTTAGGCAAGAAAATTCATGAAATTCCTGGGGCACTGGAGGAGAGGTGAAGCTGAAGGGTGGGAGGGAGGAAACCCCAGGGTGTGTACAGGCAGGTGAGGCAAGTATATGCGGGTGTAGCGGGTATATGCGGGCAGTGGGTATGTGCAGGCACTGAGTAGATACGGGTGCAATGACCCTAGGGACACACAAGCCTTCCCGTGACTGCCTGTTGTCCCAGTCTGAGTATCAGCTGTGTGCTGAGGCTTCTGTTCTGCTGCTGTCAGTCAGAAGGAACAAGAATTGCCGCCCCAGGGCCTAGTGGGAGGAGTCAGGTCCAAGACTAGCCTGACCAGGAGAAGGAGAGGGGAAGACTGGGCTGAAGTCTGGGGAGCTCAGAAAAGACCCTGCTCCTGGAAGCCCATGCCCTATAACATGGGAGAAGCTGGGAAGGGGGGACCACAGGCAGCTGGAACCTGCCCTCTATACTTCCCTCCCCAAGCAGGAGTCCAATCAGGCACTGCCTCAGCACTGACAGTTCAGGCAGCAGATGGAACCCAGGTGTCCCCTCCTGGGGTGGGTGGCATGGCCCACGGAGGCCAGATGGTGTTTGTGGTGGGAAGAGAGGCCTGGGTCGTTTAGAATAGGTTGTCAACCCCCAACCACCTCCCTGCTACACACCCTGAGCCTTTTACAGTCTCATGGTAGGGAAGACACAGTCAAGCCTACTTTTTATAAAACAAGTTTATTCACATTTTAGAAAAACTAATTCCAGGACAGGGAATGGTCTCCCTATATAGGATACCTATGAGATCAAGAACAGAAGGCCAGAGGGAGGGCTTGGGAGGGAAGGAGTGAGAAAGGGGAGCCGTGTCTCCTATTCTGGGTGGGGGGAGGTCAAATAAATTAAAGGAAGGGTGGACACAGGGAGAGGGTGTCCAGGCAACCAGAGGAGGGCTTGGAGCTGGGCTGGAAGACAGTCAACACCTGCAAGACCTGAAAAGGGCGCCCGGCGTGGGCTAAGGACACAGAGCCCTGAGTGAAGGGGGCTCCCTCCTAGCTCCCACCCCTTAACAGAGCCCTGTTGATCTGAGCTGCCTCCTCCTCCGCCAGGTGGGGCCTGGGAGGGAGCAGCCTGGTTCAGGACTTGGAGGTGGAGGCCCAATGGAGACAAGGTCGGGGGGTTCTTTTCCCTCACCTGGGGAGTGAGAGATCACCGTTTTCGAAGCCTCTTCATGAAGCAGCAAGTGATGGTACCGAGGACAGTGGCACCAGTGACCAGGGCCACTGCTGTACCCACCAGCAGAGGCACAAATAGGGTATCCAGGGCTGGGGGAGAGAGGATGACTGTTCAAAAGGATGCCATCATCCTCCACCCATCCCACATGCCTCCAGAACTTTCCCCATCAAGTTCTCTGGCCCCACCTCCTCCATTCAGACTTCCCTATCCCTGCCCGCAGCCTGTCCCTCAGCATGCAAGTCAGCAGCAACCACAGAGGACCCTACACAGGTGGACACTGCAGGGCTGGAAGCTGAATATGTTGAGACTTTATGTGACATGATATGGAGGAGAAAGACAGTGGCAGGAGGGTCAGAAGATGGGCAGGGGCCAGATGGGAGGCAGATTGAGGAGGGTGGAGGGGGTGCCACTCACCATGCATGTAGGGGTAGACTGTGACAGGTCCTGAGCGGGCACTGCCCGCTTGGTACCAGCTGTAGTCAGCGTGCTGCACCCAGGCGCTGGGGGCGCAGTGGTACACACCTTCATCCTCAGGCCCCAAGCTGTGTAGTCTCAGCCGATGGCTTCGGGGCCCCACCAGCTCCACACTGACAGGGCCTCCTCCAGGCCGGACTCCCAGCTCTGCCACACCATCCTGGCCCACGCCACCCACCAGCTGGGCAGGGACAGAGCTGAGCTCTCCGTCCTCTGATCGCTCCACCCACCAGCTGGCGGCCAGCCGCAGTCCTGGGGGTCCACCCCGCACAGAGATGTTGCACAGCAGGGAGGCAGTCTCCCCCCGGTACACTGTGCCTCCTGCTAGCCACGCCACAGCCTCCAGCACCACACCTGCAGAACACAGGACATGGGGCCAGACGGGGCAGAGCCAGGGAGCATGGGGTGAGGGCTGCTGCCAAGCACCGCCCCAGGAAACTCAGGGTATTCCCACCATATTGGTAGAAGAAGAGCATGAGGTGCGGCATGCAAGCAGCTGATAGAAGGGAGGGGACGTGGAAACAGAAGGAAAATGGGTCTACAATCCTTGAACCCTGTCCAGGGCCCAGCCCCGTCTCACCTTCCTCCCGCACGTGCACAGGGAGAGGCCGGGAACGGGCACTGGCTGCTTCACGAAGCCGGGTCCCAGACCCGCGAACATAGGCTTTGGCGAGGCAGCGGTAGGTGCCCGCATCACCAGGCCTGGCAGCCTCCAGCCGTAGCCGGTATGTTCTGGATGCCACCTTCTCCATGGCGATGTGTCGGCCCTCATAGCCAGGGCCCAGGCTGCCCACACCTTCTGTGTCTAGCTGGGCTACCAGGCGGCCAGGCCCCGGTGCCCCCGCAGGTGCCATCTCCCAACCCACAGAGTACGCAGCATGACGGCCTGCGGGGGGGAGTGCCCCTGACACATTGCACAGCAGTTCCAAGGGCTCCCCTGGGCCAATCCGATGTTCGCCAGGCCCCACAGTCACTGCCAGCTGGCTGGCTGAAACACAGAAAGGGGAAGAGGTGTCACAGAGGCAGGAGGGGACAAGAGGCACCTGATTCCCCAACTTTGTGTTTTCTTTTTTTCTTTTTTTTTTTTTTTTTTTTTTTTTTGAGACGGAGTTTCGCCCTTGTTACCCAGGCTGGAGTGCAATGGCGCGATCTCGGCTCACCGCAACCTCCACCTCCTGGGCTCAGGCAATTCTCCTGCCTCAGCCTCCTGAGTAGCTGGGATTACAGGCACGTGCCACCATGCCCAGCTAATTTTTTGCACTTTTAGTAGAGACGGGGTTTCACCATATTGACCAGGATGGTCTTGATCTCTCGACCTCGTGATCCACCCGCCTCGGCCTCCCAAAGTGCTGGGATTACAGGCTTGAGCCACCGCGCCCGGCCCAACTTTGTGTTTTCTCCTTGACAGCAGCAGCTTCAAAGCTTCCTGTCTGCCCCTCACTGGGTATGACCATCTTTCTACTCGGGGGCTTGAACCCCACCCCTCAGCCATGGCCCTCCTAAGTCTATAATCAATCACTGAGCAGAGAAAACTCATCAAGGGCAGAGTGGGAAGCAATACTAACAGGGCTGCTCACTCTAGAAGATGAGTTCCTTGGAGTCAGACGACGGCTATCCAGTACCCCCTGTGGCCACAGTGCCCACCAGACTACTGTCCCTCCCAGCTCCCACAGTGGGATGTGGCACTTACACAGCGTCTGCACGTCCACGTGGGCCAGGACAGTCCTTTTCTCTGCAATCTGGGCCCAGCTGCCATCAGGATCCTGAATCCACTCAGCGGCAGTGCAGTGGTAGGTTCCTGCGTCCCCTGCCTGGGCACCTCCTACTACCATGCGGTACCGATCACTCCCTTCCTTACCCAGACGAAGCTCCCCTGCGGCCAGTCGCTCAGCATAGGGAGCTCCGGCCTCCACGGCCAAGTCTGACCGGATTCCCACCACTTCCTGCAGAGTTGCTCGCCCAACTGGCACCTCAGGCACAGATCGCCCAAAGGACACTGCCAGGTGCGTGTGCTTCTGTGTGCTTGTCCTCGCTAGGCAGCCCAGTGCCAGCTCCTGCCCCTCATGCACCGTCAGGCGTGGGGGTGAGGTTGGGGCCTGGCGGCCTCGGGGTCCTGGGGGGGCAGCAGACACCTGTAGGACATCTGGAAGAACTGGAGAGAACAGCTGGAGTCAGGGAGGGCTGGGAGCCGGCAGCCCTTGTTACTTTTCCTGTGTACGGCCTATCTCCCTAAATAGACTGTGAGCTCCCAGAGGGCAAAGACTGCATGTTGTATTATTTCTTCTGTAACTCAGTGGTGCCAAGCTCAGTGCTGGGCATATCACAGGCACTCAATAAATACTTGCTGAATTTCAAAGAACCAGCCCATTGCCTACTCACCCTTACGTTTAAGACTGACCCCTGTTTGAAATACCAAGAAAAGTGGCTTTGTCTTCCTTCTTCAGGAGACAAAGAACCTTAAGAGAGTGAGAATGTCACATGGTCTAACTCCTTCCCTAACTACGCTCTTTCCCAGATCTGGGTCCTGTACTGTCCAGGAGTAGAGTCTATTCACCCCATCAGTCTTCCTCATTCTTGGGAATGGAAAGGGGACTGGATGGCTCTTCTTCCAGAAGGGGGCTTGATATGATCAGAAGAGCACTGGCCTGGAGTGAGGAAATCTGGGTTTGAGTCCCACACCAGCCACTGAGTTATTGGGTGACTTTGCACAAGTCACTGAACCTCTTTGGACATAGAGTTCCTTGGCTGTAAAACCTAAGGGGCAGTTAGATGGGTCACTTGTGTCCCTCCTGCCTTGAGACGGTGTGTGGCCCCACCCCGTTCCAGGGCCTGGTACCTCTCAGCTCCACCTTGCTGCTGTAGCTGCCCAGGTAGCGGCTATCAGTGGAGGGGGTGTGGCACTCATAAATGCCAGCATCCTGGACCTGCAGGCGGGCAATCTTGAGCACCACGGCATCCCCTTGTAGGCGCTGCACCTGCACCTCACCCGCCAGCACTCGGGGCTTGAAGATCGCATAGGAGAACTGGGCATCCTTCGTACTGACGATACTGAGAGGAGTATCCGGGGCCTCGGGCCTGTACAGGAACCACTCAAAGTTCTGCTGGGCAGGGCCCTCGTATTCAGTCACATTGCAGGAGATGGAGACAGCTGTTCCAGCCACGCGGTACAAGGGCCCCTCGGGGACCAGCACCTCCCGGGCCCAGCATCCCATTCCTGTAGGGAAAGGCAAAAGGAGTTGAAGATGCCTGGTGCCCCATTCTATGCCCTCTGCCACAAGCACCATTCTTGACTTCTGCCTAGAAAAGGAAAGGAGACCTGGGAAAGTTGGTCCACAGCTTGGACCCTGTTCTGAGAACAGGAAACAGAGGTTGGGATATAAGACACCTGGGTCTCGAGGAGGTGGTGTGGGCCCAGGATTGCCTTGGCACCCAGATGCATCCCATTTCTGGCAGACTAGAAGCAGAGCGCCTGAAGGCAGAAAGGAGTACATCTGATTCCTGACCTAACCAGGCCTTGGTTCCAACTCAACCTTGATCTGTCCCTGCCATTCACCTACCTCCATGTCTACCATTCCTTCCTCCTGGTCAGGGGAGGCTTCTGGCTGGGGGATTCTGAGACTACATGTCCCCTCCTTTGCTTGAGGGGAGCTGGCAGTCTTGCTCAGAAGGGCTAGTTGGCTCAGCTGGGTCACCTGGGCCAGACAATGGAGCCAGTGGCCCTAGCTGGAAAGGGCACAGACCCAGTCAGTTCTCACCACACAATGCCCTCCCCCCTCCAGCTGTGCCATGAGCTCACTGCTTCTCTCACCCTGCAGGGCTGCCCAGGGAGCTGGGGCTTCTGGGGGAAGATCCAGACTCTGCCCTGGCACTGGGGGCAGAAGATCCCCTCCTCCAGTGCCTACCAACCTTCCTGGCTAGCCCAGCAGACACACAAGGCGCCTGCCCCAGTTCCTTAACAAAGCATTCATTTGCATATGGTATGCATTCATTTACATATATGGCTCTCTTTCTATAGAGAGGCACTAAATCACCAACTGCCCCTTCTCCTCTCTCCCTTCAGAAAGGCCAAAGCTCTCTTCTTCAGCCTATTCCACCCCTATGCCCAACCCTACCCCAGCAGATACTCCTGGCGGCCTTGGAGGGCTGCGTTCCTCCCTTCTCTCCTTCCAGAGCTCCCACTAGATAAGATCACAGAACCTCAGAAGGTAAGGAGAGCTAGGCCACTCCTCCCCACCTCTCCCCATTTTACAGATGAGAAAGGTAAGGCAGGAAAAGTATAATATCTAAGCCAAGATCCTGCTCTCCCTAGGCGGCTTCCACACACTCCTCCAGAGGGGCAAAACCAGGGAAGAAGATGGGGCAACTCCAAGGTCAGGCCTGAAGGGACTGACCTCACCAACCAGAGTGTCACTTTTAGGTCTCTCAGGGAGATACCCATAGCTTTCTGTAGGGGCTAGAGGAAAATACCCAGGAGTCTGAGGTCAAACTCTGCCCGCCAGCTTCTCTAGAACGGCTCCTCCGAACTTCCCCACCCCTGCTGCTGGGCTCCTAGCCCCTTCCTTCTTCCTCTGGCTGAGTCACAAGGAGAACTCATGGTCTGTTGATAGGGGCACAGACTGGGAGTCAGGAAGTAGGATTCCAGCACCATCCCCATGCCCAGCTGTGTGGCCTGGGATCCAGTCTCCTTCTCTCCCAGGCCTCAGTTTCCACACTGGAGGTGAACTAAGAGCTCCAGCTCTGACCATGAATGAGTGAGTGTGTATGTGACTCAGGAGAGACCTGCCTCAGGCCAGGCAAGTTTCATAATCAGGGTGATGGTAGAGACAGCCAAGCTGACACCTTCCCTGGCTGCCTCCGGGCGGGCTGCTCAGAAGGCCCCCTCCCATCTTCCTGGCTCCACAACTGCTGATGTTTGGAGATCCCCATGGGAAAGTCACCCCACAGCCTTAGGAAATCAGTTGCCACACAGCTCTCTCTTCCCTCCTCTGTATTAGTCACAGCAAGGAAAGGGAGAGCAAAGAGGCCTGCTTTGGAATCAGATCTGTGTTCAAATCATAGCCCCAATACTCACTAAATGTGCTCTCTGGGGCAAGTTACTTCATTTTCCTCATTTGTGAAATGAACGTAAGGTTCCCAAGAGCAGTGGGTGCTCAGACCTCTGCGTGTTCCTCTTTCAACCACAGGCCAGCATTTCCCTGTCTCCCTGGGCTCCTCCCTGCTCCATGCTGCCCACTGGGGAAAACACACCAAGTGCTAGGCAACCAGGCCCCACAGCACCTTCCTCTCTGTACATTCTGCTGTTATCTGCCCAGGGACCAAGGAGAGGACTCATGGTAGCCCTGCAGGGCCCAGGGACCTGCAGCAGGGAAGGCTTTGCTTGGTGCCACTGTGGAGCTCCGGTCTAGAAACAGGCAGCTGGGGCTACCTTCAGCCTCTGCCTTGATGACAACAGCTCTTAAGTCACCATCCCCACCCCCACACTTCACTCTCATTTCAAGGGCTTCTGTCTCATCAACATCTGTACTGGCAGTTTCACTGTCCCCACACCACACTCTCTCCCAGACCACCGCCTACAGGGAGCCCTCCAGTTCAGGCAAAAACAATTCCACTGTCATTACTCCCATGCATCCATGCAAGGTTGGCCCAGAACAGCCCACCATGAACACCACCACAGCAGACACAAGGTGCTTGGAGATCCCAGGATCAGTCTCCACAGAACCTGGTTTCTCCTGAGCCAAGGAAGCTGGAACTAAGCAGTTGTGAAAATTGATGGGTGGCTGCAGAGCCAAGTGTCACTTGGGAGAGAGCAAGAAGGGCAAAGAGGGACCCAGCCCAGGGTGGAGATGGGGGCGAGAGAGGGAACCGTCCCCAGCCTCAGCTGATGAAGTGTGTGGAGCGCAACTGGGGGAGACTTACTTCAAAGATCGTGGGCAGAAGTGGCCTCTGGGCTCCCAGCCAACTCTGGGGCAATTACGAAGCTGGGCAGGCACTGCCCACGCAGGGCGCGCACCCAGGGCCAGGCCTAGAGCTGAGTGTGGGGCAAAAAGGAGTTGCAGCATTTGGTGCACCGACCCCAGGGCGTGGGTATACTAGCTAAGAAGACGGACCTGCCCCAGGAGGCTACGCAGTGCCCGGGGGAGCACCTTAGTGGGTCCTCCCTGTGCCCCAGTCCCTGGCTGAGAGCTGGGGATCCTGCACTCTTCCCAAGACTGGCTCGGCGGGCAGCCACAAAGCGCAGCTGCCTGCCGTCCCGGGGAGGCTGGAGGCACCCATAACGGAGAAGGAGGATGTGAGGAGCCCCGAAAAGCTCGGGAGGCAGGTTGGTCTGGGTGCTGGGCGGCAGGCACCTGCCCGGCGGGGCCGGGAACCGGAACCGGGGCCTGGCTTACCTAGCATTAGCAGCAGCAGCAGCGGCAGCGACGGCGGCAGCAGCGTGGCCCTGAGGGCGCCCATCCTGCGCGGCCAGCTCTGGGGAGGCTCCGGGGGGTGGCGCAGGTTCTGGGGGACCGGAGGGGCCGGGGGCGCATGCCCAGCTGGGGGGCAGGAAGCGGGGCAGCAAGGCGTGGGTGCGCCGAGCTAGCTGAGCGGGAGCTGCCGAATCCCCTCCCTCCGCCCCTCCCGTTGTTTTCCCTCCAGCCGTTGGCAGTTCTGAGACCATTCTCGCCCCGGCCCCCCCTTCGCCGGCCCGCCCTGGCCCCGCCCCGGCCCCGCCCCTTCCCCCGCCCCGGGCAGGCCCGCCCCGCCCCGCCCCAGACCCAGCCCTGGCCCTGCCCGCCCCACCCCGCCAGACTCCGGCCTTTGCTCCGCACCTGGCCCCGGCCCCGCCCCTCCTCTCTAGACTCACCTTTGCCTCTTATCGAGTCCCAGCCCCGCCCCTGCCCCGCCCCGCCCCGCCCCGCCCCTCAAGACTCCAGCCCTGGCTCCGCCCCGAGCCCCGGCCCAGCCCCAGTTCCGGCCCCTCTCCCGCCCCGCCCCACCAGGACTACAGTCGGACTTTAATCCTGGCTCCGCCCCGGGCCCCGGCCCCGCTCCAGTCCCAAGCCCCGCCCCCTCCCCGTCCCACCAGGGCTAACGTCAGCCTCCAATCATGGCTCCGCCCAGGACCCCGGCCTTGCCCCGCCCCCGGCCCTGGCTCCGCCCCAGGCCCCCGCACTGGAGAGCTAACTGCACTCGGCTCATTGAAATTCCCACCCACCCTGGCACAGAGCACACCCGACCCCGCACCTGCCAGCCTTTCCTGGAGAATTGGGTGCAGGTGCCCTGGGATTGGCGAGGTGACTGTGGCCACGCATTTAGAATTCAGTTATTTGCTCTCTGCCACAGTCCTGGCTGCAAACCCTGCAGGGGTGGGCAGAACCCAGGAGTTCCCGAACGCGAAGGGTTTGAGCTGAAGGGCACTTCTGGGATCCAGAAGGTCACTGGAGACCTTTTTTTCACCCCCTCAGAGGGCAAAACCAAAAGAAAAATGGATTAGGAGAGGAGGCCGTCCAGGCGACGTCATTTCTTGATTGGGTGATCCTGGCCCATTGCCTAACCTCCTTCAACCTGCTTTTTCCTCTCCTCTGCAAATTGAATTGAGGTTGATCACATCACCCAAAGGGTTATCGTGATGATTAATTGAGGAATGTACATAAAATGTTTGGCACAGGAAGCTAATATGAAATCGGAGATAAATAAAGATTATTTTATTTTAGGTTTTGAATTATTATTTGAACTGTTTCCTAAGAGGCTTACTGTAGTTTAGATCTTGTTTAGATCTGGTGTTTAGGTGAAGGAGTCTCTATGTTCAGTGACAGTGAGAAGAGATGAACAGTGCTCTCTTCTGGGAGGGGTGGGGCTTGCCCTGGAGGTGGGAGAATGGAGAAGCACCCTTCCCAGGTGCTCTGTCTCTCCTGAACTATCAAGGTGGGGAGTGGGGAGGGGCAGGAAGGATGAAGCCAGAATAGGGAGAAGAGACAGCCAGGTTTGCAAAGCCGAGGCTGTCAAAGTGGCTGTCAGTGGGAGGTGACCAGAGCCCGTTTAGCACCCTCAACCCTCCAACCCTCTCCTTGTTCCCTCTCATCCCCCTTCCCTCCCACTCACTCACCCCCCTTTACAGAAGGGGAAACTGAGGCCCAGAGAGGGAAAGTGGCACAGGCCAGACCAGACCTTCCTTCACATTGCATTCCTAGAGTGTGGCACAGTGCTTGACTCTGAGGTGCTGCTCATGGGGTTACCGATAGAAGCCACATTGAGGAACCCTGGAGAAGCCAGAGAAACTCTGAAGCCGAATGTTTGAGGCCTTGAAGGGAGATCAGAGGTCCAGCCCTCGCCTCCCAGGACTGCCAGCCCATGTACAGGGCAGCAGGGCGACTGTTTATTCCCACTTTGAAATATCCACAGCCTGGTTGCTCCAGAGCCACATCGTCTAAATCCATCCACAGGCATATGGAGCTATGTGAAAACTGAAACTCACAGGGAAGCTTTTGGCAGAACACGTCTCTCCTTTTATAATGGATTTAATTATCGAGTGGATTTAGTGCCTTCACGATGCTTGAGGGATGAAAGATGTTACCAGCTGTAATAATGATAGATGTCATTTATGAAATGCTTACACAAGAAGCCCTTTTGGATATTAGTTCTAGTCCTTACAGCATATTTTGCAAGGTGGTGTCATTTAACAGAAGAGAAACCTGAGTGTAGACAGGTTAAGTATCGTGCCCAAGGCCACACAGCTTTTAAGCGGCCATGGGGTGACTTGAACCCAGGCTTAAATGTTCCCAAAGCCCCAAATCTTCCTACACCATACTGTCCCTCCTCCTAAGCCTCTCCACCCTGTAAACTTAGTCATTCACAAACACTGATTGGGCCAGGCCTTGTACTGGGCACTGGAGATGCCGTGGTAAACAAGGCAAGCCTGGTCCCTTGCCCACAGAGAACATATAGGTCCCTGTCCTATGTGTTAAGGAGGCATTTCGTAAAGAACTCATAACCAGCCCACAGTATGAGCATTATGAGAGGGCTCTTCAGGGAGTTGAGGTATCCTCTCTTACCCCATGACCTGGGGCTGGGAAGTAGCTGGGGGCAGGTCTGCGCTGAGGACTGGGTTGGTGTCTCCCTCCAGAGGGGATAAGGCCCAACAAGAAAGCAACGTCACCAGCAGTCCCCTCCCCAGACTGCGGGTGCCAGAGGCGGCCAGCAGGAGGAGCCCATAGCCCAGGCCTGACGGACCCCTCAGCTGCTTATGTAACTGGGACAGCTGGGGGAGGAGAACAAACCCCAGGCACGAGGCACGTCACACACACAGACACATGTCCCCACTGTAACAGAGCGGGGATCACACAGAAAGATGTCTCCCAGACACACACCCCCACAGAGCCATGCGCAAACACACACAAGCTGCAAAACAGTGAGGCATGGTGTAGACTGGAGAGCACTCATCTCACCCACTGAAAACACACGCAGGGCCGGGCGCGGTAGCTCAAGCCTTTAATCCCGTCACTCTGGGAGGCTGAGGTGGACGGATCACAAGGTCAAGAGTTCGAGATCAGCCTGGCCAATATGGTGAAACCCCGTCTCTACTAAAAATACAAAAATTAGCTGTGCATGGTGGCAGGCACCTGTAGTCCCAGCAACTCAGGAGGCTGAGGCAGGAGAATCGCTTGAACCCAGAAGGCGGAAGTTGCAGTGAGCCGAGATCGCGCCACTGCACTCCAGCCTGGGCGACAGAGTGAGACTCATCTCCAGAACAAAACAAACACACACAGGCCTCCCAGCACCTAGGCTAGTGCCCTAGAGGGGGTGAGAAGAGAAAGGAGGAAGGAGGCCCTTCAGTGAGTTTCAAGGCCAGACTGAGACACGGAGGAGGAGGGAGGCTGGGCTTGCAGGGAGACCTGTTCAGATGTGCAGGAATGACCGTGAGGGACCCTGATGCCCAGCTGGGCTGTGGTGGCACTGCCATCCCCAGCTTCCCATGTGCCCTCCATGTACTACCCCAGGCATGGGCCTGCATCTGACACCCGTCCTGTTTCACCTGAAACAGGTCTCATTTCACCTCAAGATGACAAGTGCACAAGGTGCACTGAGGTAGCGCTGAGGGGTCACGGATATTATTAAAGATATTATTAAAGAGACCCACGCTCTGCCCAGAAGCAGTGTATACTCCAGCTGAGATGTGACACACTGCAGTCACAACCAAGGAGACAGCTCTCAGAAAGGAGCACGTTCAAAGACAGGACTGTTAACATATGCTAACTTGTGCCAGGCACTAAACGTGATCTCTTGTATGCTCATGGGCTATTTTTATCCCTGTGGAAAAAAACTGAGGCATAGAAAAGTTAAGAAACTTGTCCAAGGTTAGTGGATTAGTTACTGTGACACAGGGATTCGAACCTTGGATCGTCTCACTGTGGAACCTGTGCTTCTAACTCCTGTTATGTTGCTGCTTAAAGATAAACGTCACCAGAAACACAGTTAAATATGAGCCTAGCACACATGAGTATACACCAAGCTGTAGACACAGATACTGCCATGGAGACACAGTGACAAATATGTCAAATACATAAGCACACATGCTCATCAGTCAGACATGTAGAAATGACAGAAGCATACACAGAGGACTCAGCTCTCTCTCTTTTAAATGTGTATCAACCCTAGCTTTATAGGGAGCTAAGGATCACACACAAGAATGTCCTGTGATTTGTGTGTGTTTATAAAGCATTGGCCCGTACTGCCCTGATGAGCTATATTTTCCCACCCTCGCAGAAGGGAAAATGCTCTCTGCCGAGTTGCTGAGAGGCTCAAGCAAAGAGTCAGAGACAGAAGTAGCGCAAAAATCTACCCTCGCCCAGACAACACACTCCTGCAGAGACACACCGAAACAGAAGTGCACATACAAAGATAAACACAGAGACATGCACACAAACACCAGATACTCTCACAGAACCACAAACCCATCTCCTTCCTGACACAGACGCGCACGCACACACACACATTCGCGTTCCACCCTCTTCCTCTTTTCTCCCTGAACCAGGCATCTGCACCCTCATGGTGGACCATGAGTGTGTGTGTGTGTGTGTGTGTGTGTGTGTGTGTGTGTGTGTCTGAACCCTCCTCTTGCCCTGGCCAAGCCCACACTCCTGCCCCCCTTCTCGAACCCTATGCCAAGGAGGGCAGCACAGCTGTTCAAGAATAGCAGAGCCACGATGTCACTGGGACTTTGGCACAAACTGGCCCTGACTCCTGAGGGGGCCCTGCCATTTCTGAACCAAGGATTCGTGCCAGCTGCCGCCCACTCTGGAATGCCACGCATGGATCCCTCGGAGCTGGAATCCCCTCGGCCTCCCTCCTGACCTCCTGACAGGTTCTTTGTTCACCAGTTGCATCGGGTGGGCGCCTGGGAGCCTGGGCTCCACCCCAGATGTTCACCCATCCCACTTCTCCATTCCCAGTCTGCTCAGAGGGAACTGGCAGCTCAGATATATGTCTGGGAGGTAGCGTGGGACCGAAGCAACCCCTATGATGTGATATTACTTCTTCTCCACCCTGTGCAGCCTAGTGTGGGGCAGGGTCAGCCAAGGGCAGGAGATGGCAGTGGTTTAGTTAGAAATTTGTGGGCTGAGTGTTGTAGGCGAGCCTCAGGGGGCAGGAGGCGGGTGGCCCCAGGTGACTGCCTCTGCATCACTGAGGCTGAGCAAGAGGCAAATGTGAACCAGTCATTTATGAGCTTGTCTTCACCCAGCTCTGAGTGGGGTGAGAAGGGAACAGTAATTGCTACAGAGCACCTACTCCTTGCTGGGCACTGCTGCACACACTCTGCACACACTCATTCATTCAGCTTTCACAACACCAACCCCATGAAGTGAATACTACGGTTACCGCTAT